AGGGTCTTCAAAAATACCTTGAATCCTTCCACATCCCTTCGATCAGTCCCAGACCAGCTGATGAAGCTCGGTCGTGCGGACTTGCTACGACTTTCATCGAAGACTATTGCGGCATCTGGTAGAACTCCAGTCTCGTCAAAGATCAACGCGTGTGACTTTTCGGGAAGAATACTGCGTAGTGTATCTTTGAGGTCGAGTATCGTCGCCTTGTCAGTCAATGCCAAGCCTATTTTTACGGTTGACGTCAAGAAAAACTCTACAGAGCAGATATTGCGGCTCTGCGTCACATCCGGCGGAGCCTAGTAGAGGTCAGTGGTAACGGGCATATGGCTCTCCATGTAGGCAGGTTGGACTTACGAGGACAAGGGTTATATTCTTAGGTTTGGGAGGGTAAGTATAATCTTTGTCTGGGGGGAGTAGTGCCTTGTCAATCCATTTCATGGTCGCCCAACTGTCTACCGCAATCCGAGAGGCCATTTTTATGACATTTTCCCAATGAAACACGCAAGACCTCGCCGATAACTTGCGGCATACAAGGGCCAAGATGCTGTCAAACTCATCATCTTCATCGCACTATTGACATGTTAGCTTCATGCTAGGGTAATCGATCCCAGCGAGGCAACTCACATCGATCGAGAATCGTTCAAGCTCATCAGCCAGGAAGCGGATGCTGAAATGCCACGCCTGAACCTGGCGAGGAGATAGTTCGATGTCCAAAACGTCTGAATCCGTTAATCCCAGTGCGGGTTTTGCAATCAAATCTTGGACGACCATTGGGCGGTTCGGTAGGATTGAGAGCATGTCCTTCACATGTATGATGTCGTCGACCCTCAGCCCCAGGTCTTTGGGTGTTTTCAACACGTCGTAGAGGCTAGCATCCATGTTCTCGTGGCCTGAATATGACATCCTGCCAAGATGATTGGAATCAACTTGGCACACATCAGCATGGGATGCCGCCGACATGTTGCTCGTATCATACTCCGGGATGAGCTGCAACTGGAATCCGCCAACGGCATCTCGCCCTGTGGCTTGCCATTCTATCGTTCCTCCCATTTCCGGGTTATCTGTCCCTGGTTGACCATCATCGTGCTTGTGCTGTCGATGGTATTTGGACCTATTATCCAGTTGTGATGTTGGAAGTTTCCGTGGAGCTGTCATGGCTGTTGCCACGAACTGCTTGACCGTCCCAGGACCAGTCGCTATTCCATCTAGCCAAGGCTGGTCTGGGATAACAAGATAGTCTTGATTCGATGTAACCGAGTTCAGCCTGCGGAGAAGGGCATCCATGTCGCCTGCGGGTGGATCTCCGGTAATCCCATTGACACCTCCAAGGAAGGGCCGAACAGCGTACCGCTTTTGGCCAATTGGATCGAAGTCTATCCACATGGCTTCCATTTCTGAATGGTCCTGGTGTAAGTATCTTCCATGAAAGCTGGAGGTAAGAAGAACTCACGATACATGGGGATGAACAGTCCGCCCTGAGCAACCATGGATGTGGGTAGCTGTTCGCTGAAAGGCTGTATGCCGAAAATAGGGAAGCGACCGAGGTCGGGTGGCAAGCCATGCTGATTGTTATCTTCAGGAACTCGAACTGTCCGCATCAAGCTGATGGTGAGATCACAACCTCCCTCCCTGCCAACATGGATGAAGTCGGATGACACGCTTTCGAACGGATGACGCTCCGTCGCTTCCTTCCCGTTGGGCTTTCGTAGGCTTGCTGTGACCGGATGCGAGAATGCTTTACCCATGAAAGATGCAATGGTCTGCTTCTTGTGCATCTTGAACTCTCTTGCTACATCGTAGCAAGGCGGTCCTGTGGTGACTTTGACTGGATGTGTGAAGACATCTTTCCAAGTTGTCTCGATTTCACAGCCTTCTTGTGAGAAATGGAATGAGCTCCAATCTTTTAGATCTAAGTGAAACAGTTATTAGTAATTAATACCAGATTGAAGTAAACACAGTGTTACGCACCTGGCTTCTCGGAGAACAAAATGCTTCCTAGCTGTTCCACTGGAGTGTCTGCTGGTACGGATAGTGTGTGAGAGTATGTGCCGTCGTCGTGTTCTCTCGCGTCGATTTTGTTGATCAGGCCTCCTATTCGAACCGAAATTTGTGCCGCTGGGGGCTCTGCCACATTGATAATCGCGACAGGCTTTTCCTGAACCGAAGCCCTACCAATGATGCCATTCGAGCCTAAGCTGCTGACTTTTGAGTCCTTGGAGGCAGAATCAGGAGCGATGGACTAGCAAAATATTAACTCAACCCATCGTTTCAAGAGAACGGGATACTTGCAGTGGCCTTGATCATCTTTCCAATTCTCGACCGGCGCGGCGAGGAGTTTGGAGGATGCGTAGGAGGAGGCTCGATCTCTCGTGACCTTTTGACGACCCCATCAAGAATTGCGTGCACTTTTGAAAGGGGGCAATTAGTCTCTGATATTGTTATGCACATTGAGATTCAATACTCACCATCTGGACTGGTACCTTTTTGAGCTAGTTGCTTGATCGCTGCCTCAACCTGCAGGTACGTCTGGGTTTTTGAACCATATTTGCAAATGGTATGGTGATTAGCGTCTGTCTGAATAACCAACTCATTCTCCAGACCAAGGACCGCAGAGTATTCCGGAACAATCTAGGATATGTGTCAGTATGCTGCGGCCAATATCTTCAACCGTAGGAGATATATCTCACATGAGCGGACAGAGAATGCTCTGATATCTGTCCAGTGAAGCTCATAATCTTCATCTGGGGGGTCCAGCGCACGAATTCTTGGGAGATGTCTGCCAGAACCTTGGATTTCTCTTCTAGTTGGCCCAATGGGGATCTTCGAATTTCTTGTCCCAGAGTAGCAGCATGGACCACGTCCGCAATCACCTTTGCCCATGGAGCGGAATCGGTTCCCCTGTGAGGAGTGTCCAGGAAAACAATACCATGTGTCGATTCTCCGATGCTTCCGTAATCGTTACTGGATTCGTGGGCAATGGTCAAAGCCTATGATGTCAGTATATATCCGAAGACGTTTTTGAGGGTACGAGCGGTTGAGTATACCTTCTTGACGATGACACCCCCCAAACTATGGGCGATGAATACAACGGGTCTTTCATTTGACTGCGCTTGTTAGTATAAAGACTGAATAAAGCCAGAAAGAACTCATACATAAGTCGGGCCTCTCAATGTCTTTAGGCGATTCAACAAATCGCGAGCAAAATTGTCGAAGCCTGTTTCGGATCGACTGAAGGCCAGTCGAGAATCGTACCCAAAGGTCAGGATCCTGGATCCTGGAATTCCGTTAGGGAGAAAGTCCTCCAGCCAGAACTTGCCTGTTTTCGTATCGGTCCATGTCTTTCTCGCACTGCCGTCGAGGCCATGAACTGCAACTATGCTATGGATCAGGTGAGCGTGTTGAGTACTCAGATAGGCTTGGAAGGCCACCTACTCCACGGTGGCATCCACTCGAGGTCCCGGCGTGTCAGTTTTTGGGTGGAGAATGAATAAACCCTGGGGCTCTGGGTCGGGAATATGCGGCTCCAGTCGTTTTGGTTCGTCGGCAGCAAGATCAATGCTCTCAGATGGTTTCCTTGTTCTGTCAGGCAATTGCTATCCCATCGTGAGAACGTTGCCCTCATTCAACCATTCAACCCTGCTTAGCGGTTCGTACCTGTGCCCCATCACTAGTCTCCCCAGCAGGTTTCGCTGTCGGTGTGGTATACTTGGCCAAAAATCTCTTCTTTAGCGACCGCATAGCTGCAGCTCTGAGTACTGGCAAAGAATTGCCGGGATTGACAAATCCGATGTTGTTCTATCTTCATCGGTGCGATTGAAAGGTGGGGAAATCTGCCGCAGGTCAGTGAGGCATTACTAAGGCGGCATTGCGGCCTTGTGTGCCTTGGCGCATACAGGCCGAGTGCGGCTGAGTCTTACCGTTTACTATCACCAATAAGCATCTTGTAGCAGGGACGTGGGCCTGACGAGCTGCAGTAAGGTAGAAAAAGCCATTGACTAAAGCGGGCTAGGGGAATTATTGTGGACGAATCGAATGGGAGGTGTTTAGTACATGTCATCCAATGTTGCATTAGTAACATCGCAGTGGATTGTGAACACAATACGTTTCAATAATTCGTTTCACAAGTCCGGCATAATATCAGCAACCACCAAATTATCAAGTAGATCTACTGAATAGTAGGTTACGCATCTTCAGGCAGCTGAAAGAATGAGCATGTTGAGTTACTTCACGACATGTGAGGGGCAGATTCAGCACCAACCTGGCAGTAATTCATTCATCATCGAAGAGATTCGAGCATACAAAAGTGCAAAGTATCACTACAACGGTGCTTTCTCGTCCATGCCTTATGATATACACCCTGGCAGAGCCATGTGAGATATGGCTTTGACCTGTCGTAGATCTAGGGGTTGGCATTGATTTCATGGTTGCAAGGTTTGTGCCAGGTGGATGCCGCAACGGACTGGCTTTCCAAGTACTTTCCGGGGAGGATCGTACATCTCTAAGGCTCATGCTTTCTAGATGACGATGAATGTCTTTCCCGAAGATGTTACCCTGCTCCTATCCTGAGCGGGCAAAGTTTGCTGCTTTGACGCCAGATGATTTCACGGCATGAGTCATCGCTTCAGCTCGGGTTACGGGCCACGATTATATGGTGTCCCATTTTGATGTTGTTGAGGATGCGAAAGAGAACGCTATTTTTCTATCCAATTCCTGAGTAAAATCATACTCTCAGGTAGAAGGGCGGATCGAGAAACTCGGGATGAGGAGGATAGGTGGACTACTAGCTCTGCGAGCTGCTGATAAATAAAGCACATGAACCTGCTACCTGAACTCAACTTCAGACCGACCAAACCAATGCCCTTAGAAGTAAAGGGACAAAGAGAGGTGTTACCAGGTACGATACCGATTTCGAGAGGCTCTATTGCAAACAAAAAGTCTCTCCCTTCTACCAAAGGTCTCTCCTTGTCGCGAAGACTCGGCAAGAGGAGCAAAAATGAGGGCCTGACCGGGGATTGAACCCGGGACCTGACACAATTTCCCTGGGAGAAATGGGATGAATTCCCGAAGCGTCAATCCTACCACTAGACCATCAGGCCACTTTTTGCGATTCCGAGAAGATGGTGGGACATATATTGGTTCCCTGCTGTTGGCATCGAGGTTGGTGGACTGACGATCAGGACGTGGCGTTTGACACTCACGATCCGACTGCCATTTTGTGAGAAGCACATCTCGTGCGTGTTTTGACCGAAAAATCAACAATTCAACTGTATTCCGTCGGTAGTATCATTTCACATATGTCCCTAGTGTTGAGGTAAGTCATATTCGTGGACGATTTCGGGGTGTTCGAGAACGCAGGCATCAAAATGTGATACGCTCCTTTTTTTGTCAAATCATCGCCGCGCTAGTTGGAAATCCTCCTTGGCCAGCCTCAATTGAATCACGCAATTCTTTGCCAGAAATCGGGCAAATTAGGGTTTCAAATGAAGCTCTAAGCCATAGGTTAAGAAAATAGAATCCATTGACCTGTGACCAGTACTTGCGTTTGTGATCCTTGCCCTATCTCCCTCTCGACAAGGGCTTATCTGAAACAACCATGAGTACCGCCTCCTATTCCCACTTCGCCGTCCTTCCCTCTTCTAAATCTACCTGCGGCACAAAGTTCCAAAGGATCTCACTGGCTCGAAGGCTTCTCAGTCTTCTCATCGCCCCCAGCATAGACTCCACTGGGCAACTGAACGTCATCAGCAAGAGCTTGCAGATCCTCCTCGCCCATCTCTCCATCCCAACCATGCGCAACCAGGTATGCGCGGAACTTCTCGTCGTTTTTGGAAAGGTCTTCGCCGGTAACGTCTGGCACAAAGAAGTAGGTCACGAGGATGCCAACGACACCGCAGATGGCGGCGATGATAAAAGTCCACCTCTTGCCGAGGTTGGTCTGGATGGGAGTAAAGGCTTGGGTTCCAACGGCGGCTCCAGTCTTGCCGAGAGCGGCACTGATACCGTAACAAGTTCCACGGACACTTGTCGCATAGCTTTCAGAGGACAAGAGGCCGAGCATATCGCCGGGACCCATGTTGCCAGAACTCTGCATGAGACCGTAGAAGATGACAAAAAGTGGTACAATCTTGATGATCCTGTCGTAGGCGCAGCCGATGATCAGTCCAAAGACGAGGTAACCGGAAAAGCCAATCATCATGGTGTTCTTTCGGCCAACGCGATCACACATCCAGGCGCCGAGGAACACGCCGGGCAGAGCAAGTGCTCCCAGCAACAGTTGCCACTCGGCCGTATGGAGCAGAGTGTTGCCGCCAGTGGGCACAACCGAGGCCAAGATGGTACCGGAAAAGACGCCGTTGGGGAACGTGACGAAGTCGTAGAGGAACCAGGCGCCACATGTGCCGATGAGAGTCTTCCAATAGTAGCGTAGGACCAGCTTGTACGGGACGTGCTTCTTGATAGCCCCGCGACGGTACAGCTTCGAGTTGAGCATGCGGATGCGGAAGTAGAAGACAGTCAGCGGGAGGAGAATGCCGATGCCGAAGCACACACGCCATACGACATTGAGGTGGTTGGTGCCGGCAGCTGAGAGAACAATCATAAAGACTGAAACAGCAAAAGGTCCGCCAAAGGACAGAGGCAAGTTTGTGACGAGGATGAATATGGGGCCACGGCGATTGAGAGCACGCTCGTTGGCTGATTCAGAAGCCGATACACTGCTGGCGGGATACTCGCCGCCGGTACCGAAACCAACGATGCCACGGGCAACCGTCATCATCCAAAACATGCCGGAAATGGTGTTTCCGTTCGAAGCGCATGCCAGGATGCCACCAAGAACAATGCACAGAGTGGTTGCCACGATGGCAGTCTTACGGCCCAAGTAGTCGCACGTCAGGCCGATGACAACCTGGCCGATGACCTCGCCCACCAGCAAAGCATTGGACACCCGGGTGCTGATAGTCGATGTGTACTGGTCGGGATATTCTTCCCTGAACAAGACGTTGGACATGGTCATCAGGTTGTTCTGGTATCCATCTGAGATGAGGGCTGCACCTGCGCACATGATGGTGAAGAGATCTGATAGCTTTTGTCGAGTTGTGATTGATGTGGGCAAGCTCTCGGGGTCTGACGAGCTGGAGACGTCCACGGTGCCTTTTTGGTCGAAACCAGACGTCTCAACAATGTCCCTCTCCGCCATGGTTTGTAGTGCTTGTCGAGTTCAGTGGCTTCAAGTGTAAAGGTGATATGCAGTGCTGCAACTGAAAATTGAAGATAAAGGAAACCCCTAGACATATTTATAGCACGCGATATCCCAACGAGCTGGTTCGCAGCCAGATGCCAAATTCCCAAACCCACGTCTCTGGGAACAGTCGTCAGTGCCGATATGCCGTGAAGTTGCAATTTGATTCCTCATTGAGCCAAGGTGACGACGTCAAGGTGGAACTCGGTCCAGGAAACCGTTGCCAAGGTTGGTTCCTGTCGGCGAGCCGCTTCCGAGTCGGCCTATGGTACGTCGCTGATGAGCCATGTGCCTGATGCATCGGCCGAACTCCACACTGAGGGTCCACTACCGGCTCCGGATAAGTGCCAGGAGATAGGCAAAAGTGCTTCATTTCCGCGACCGACGACAGATTGAAAACTGCCGATGCTTGTCATTTTCTCTTTCTGGTGGTTAATTCACCGTAAAGTGAAGGATGGGTTGGACTAAACCCACGTGTTGGGGCAGCTAATCGCATCCACTGTGATTGGGATTCATTGCAATGACTCGCTCGCACGAGGCCAAGAGGCGAGATAGCCAACTGATTTAGTCTCAATGTTAGCTCACGTGAACATTTAAATGGGATTTCGTCGACTGTGCGCTCCGAATTTTGACAATATGACCGTGACGTGGCTGTACGGGAAGGGCCCACTCCTCGAGTAGCAAAGGTGGCGGCAGATCCAACACATCCCAATCATCTAACAAAGCATCATATTGAATAAGAGGAGGGCACGAGCCTTGGTGAGTTTTGAGAGCCATTGGGACATGGAAAATGCCTTACCTTTGCGGAGTGTAGTTGCGTGACTTTAATTCTTGAAACTCACAGCTTTGATTGCAATACCCATACATATTAGGGCATTCAGTACAACTGTACCTCCCCACGGTATGTCCTATCTCCCGCTGCGTACAGGATGATTCAAATCATGAATTGCCCTAATCTATGTCGCTGCGTTATAATTTCTCACCATACATCTCAGCCGTCACCCGAAGCGGTATGCTGCCGTTTCGAAACTATTGGTGGACCTGCCCTCAGACGCCAGTTGGATCCTAACAATGTCATCGTTGTGCCTCATAGCGGCTAATGATAGCGGCGTACGGCCATTCCAATCCTTTAAATTGAAGTCGATGCCTCTCATTGCTAGCAATCACTTTACAACAGCTTCACATCCATTTGAGCCGTGGTCAATAGCGGCGTCCTGCCTCTAGGACCCTTTGAGTTGACGCCAATGCCTTCAGTTGCCCGTAGGAGCTTTATAGCCCCCATTCCTTTGTCTTTGACTGCACATAATAGCGGCATCTGGCCCGACTCGTCCTTTGGGTTGACATCCATCCCTTGAGTCGTTGGCAAAAGTTTTACAGCTGCAATTTGTCTAGTCTGAACTGCCTGTGAGAGCGGCGCCCGGCCCGTGTTGTTCTTTGAGTTGATATCGATGCCTTCGGTCGCTAGTAACATCCTTAAAATAGCCTCTTGCTCGTTCTCAACTGCCCCCCTCCTGTATCCGACAGTAGCTAGGTCTAAGAAACCAACCACCAATCAAGACACTCTTCCGATCCTTAATTCCACCCATGCGCACGATAGTAGTGGAGTTGATAGAATAGATATTATTCAGTGTGACAAGAGATACTACGATAAAGGCTATTAGGAATTTCCCTCCGTCAATCCACTGGGTGCTCCGTACAGCGCAAACAAGGAATTAGCAACCCAGTCCAACCGTAGTATCTCAGTACATTGGCCAAGTCTAGTCTGCAGCATACCCACTTTTCCATAAATACCGCATTCGAACGACGTATCTCAGCGGGTTTTTAACTAATCTGGGGACCAGCGGAACTCGGTGTTCCGTGTACTCTGAGAAGCTGTCCGATTTACGCGGCCGCTTATTCACGATGGTGGCATCAAAGCGCATCGCAGAAATCAAGACGACAGTCAAAATATAAACCAACAGGCGCCATCTATGTTTGCTATATTAAACAGACAGCGTCCTCGTCAATCCTCTACAGGAACCATCCACCATGGCGGTACAACAGAAAACCCTAATCATCTACGGGGCCACAGGCTACACCGGACGCCTCGCATGCCAGCACGCCAAGAGCATCGGACTCAATTTCTTCATCGCCGGAAGATCAGAAGATAAACTCAAGGAGCTTGCTGCACTTTTACAAGTCCCATACCGAGTCTTCGATGTTGAGGAGGTATTTTTGGTACAGGCAGCCCTGAAAAATTGTCAGGTCCTGCTCAACTGCGCTGGTCCATTTCTACGCACCGCCAAGCCTCTCATGTGGGCTTGCATACGCAACAAAGTGCATTATCTCGACATTGCTGCGGAGCTGGATAGCTACCGGCTTGCGGAGAAGCGAGATGATGAGGCGCGACAGGTGGGCGTGATGCTGCTCCCGGGCTGTGGAGGTAGCGTCGCGATGCTCGGTTGCCTAGCCAGTCACGCTCTGGAAGCAGCAAAGGGTCTGGTTGTGGGTGTAGACATTGCGCTTCACGTTGCGGGCTCAATGTCTCGTGGATCTGCCGTCAGTGCGGCGGAGAATCTCACGACGGATTGTCTCGAGAGACGACAGGGCAAGCTAGTGGCAGTGGAGGATACCTCTCCATCGCAATTCGACTTTAAGGACGGGAGAGGAACTGTTTCCTGTGTTCCGGCGACTCTCCCGGATCTGATGACGATTGGGAGGGCAACGGGCGTTCGCAACATCAGGACATATGTCAATGTGTCTGGCGACGCCTTTCCCACTGGCGACCTCGATGAACTTCCTGCCGGGCCGACGGTGGAGCAGAGGCAGTCGAACCCTTATCATGCGGTGGCGATTGTCAAGTCGGAAAATGGAAGTCAT